CGGTGCCCGTCGCGGACCATCGGTTGGGTCGTGACACAAATGTCTACCTATGAGGAATTATACGGGAGGCGGTGTCGTTCGGTAGTTGGATGGTTCGAGCCGAAGGAGGCTCGGTTGTTGGGTATAGATTTGGTACATGATGCATTGGATATGGTCAAGATTATTCACGACTTCGCATAGCTCAGTCTAGGCAGAAGAGTTATGCCGACCATAGAGTTCATGATGTTGCATTCATGGTCGAAGAGAGGGTTTGCTTTGGGTTTCACCCATGAAGTGTGTGATGAGGTTCGGAAAGAAGAGCAAGTTGAGCCCTAGGTACATCGGACCTTTTGAGATTCTTCAGAGAGTGGGTGAGGTGGCTTACAAGCTCGCATTGCCATATATTTTATCAGCAGCCCATCAATGTTCCATGTGTCCATGCTCCATAAATATCACGGTGATCCGTCCCATGTGTTAGATTTCAGCTCAGTCCAATTGGATATTTGACTTGTGAGGAGGAGCCGGTGGGCATTCTAGCTTGGCAGGTTAGACAGTTGAGGTCTAAGGGTTATCCTTCAGTTCAAGTGCAGTTGAGAGGTTAGCTCATCGAGACAGCTACTTGGGAGTCCGAGTCGGACATGCGGAGTAGATATCCACACCTATTCACCAGTCTAGGTACTTTTCTATGTCCGTTCGAGGACGAACGGTTATTTTAAAGGTGAAGAATCTGATGACCCAATAGGTCATCTAGAGTTTTAAACCTAAATTATGTGTTTCGAAGCCTCCAATAGCTTCTTTAGGCCTTCCTCGATTTGTCTACACAGTCCGGGTGCACGAAAGGATTTTATGTTAAGAATTGATAAAATATGAAATTTTGCCTTAAAATCAATTCGAGCTGACTTCGGTCAATGTTTTGAGCAAACAAACCCGGATCCATGTTTTGACGGTCCTTGTGGGGTCGGTATCATGATTTGGGACTTGGACGTATGCCTGGAATCATATTTGGAGGTCCCTAGCTCGAGTTATCACTTTTTGTTGAAATTTTGTAGTTTAAAGGTTTAATGAATTCAAAGATTTGAGCAATGCTTGATTTTGTTGATACCAGGCCCGTATCTTGGCTCCGGAACCCGGTATATGTGCATTTCTATATTTATGACTTGTCTGTCAAATTTGGTGAGAATCAGAGTTGGTTTGACATGATTCGGAAGTCCGGTTGTTAAAATAGAAATTCTAGAGTTTCATTGAAAATTCCATTTGATTTGGTGTCCGATTCATAGTTCTAGGTGTTATTTTGGCGATTTGATCGCGCGAACAAGTTCGTATGATTAGACTTGTGTGCATATTTGGTTTGGAGCCCTGAGGGCTTGGGTGAGTTACGAATAGGCTACGAAGTGAATTTGGACTTAGAAAAATAGCTGGTGCAAGTCTGTTATGGTACAGGTCTCTAACCTCGCAATTGCGAGGTCAATGTTCGCAATTGCGAAGGGGCCGATTTTCTATCTTAGTCGCAATTGTGAAGAAAATCCTCACGTTTGCGAAGAGGAGTGGGTCAGCTAAGGTTTGCATTTATGATAAAAAAAGGTTTACAATTGTGGAGGACCACAGTTCGCATTTGCGAACAAATCATCGCAAATGCGATGATAGCAGAGCTGTGAAGGCTTTGCAATTGCGGGGGCTTTTTTGCATTGTGGGGTTCGCAATTGCGCGGGCTTTTTCGCATTTGCGGGGTTCGTAATTACGAACCCCAGGTCGCAATTGCGACATCTACGCCTGGTCAAAAGCTAAGTTAGACGGGATTTCTCTCATTCTTCCAAATTTTCAAACTTAGAAACCCTAGAGGCGATTTTTCCAAGAGCTCTTCTTCCCCGATTCATTGGTAAGTGATTCTAACTTTCTTTCTTTCAAATTTTCATTAAATTTCATAAGATTTCAACCTAAAATCTAGCATTTTCATAGTAAAAATTGAGGGTTTGGGTAGATTAGAGATTTTTTGTAAAATTGGAATTTAGACCTCAAATTGAGGTCGAATTTCGAAACAAATTGCATAACCGAGCTCAAGGGTGAATGGGTAATCAAGTTTTGGTCCGAATTTTGGGTTTGGACCAAGCGAGCCCGGGAGTTGACTTTTGTTGACTTTTTCAATAATGACCTAAATTGAACCTTTTTCATTCGTGGGTAGTTCCTAAGGGCTTATTTTGAATCGTTTTGTTGATAATTTACTAGATTTGGTTGGTACTGAGGCTTGTTTGCTATGTGCTACTTGTTTAAATGTTGGGTACAATTTATATGTGAGGTGACGAGTACTTGTTTCTTGTAATTTATTTCTTTCCTTGATCATGATATCCATGCTTAGACTAGTTAATTACTAAATTAATCGTTCTTTCCGCATTTATGGGTTATCTGTGATAATTGAGTATTGTTCTTGAAGTTGAGATTGGTATTGTGGAACCATTATTGACGTAAGACTTGATCTTGCTTATTCTATCTCCCTGTTGTTATATGTTCATTGTTACATGGGAAGGGAGAGTGTTGAAGCACGAACGGCGATGCTGTGGCATATTTGAGTGTTAAAGTACGAAGGGCGATACCGTGCCGTATTTGAGAGTTAAAGCATGAAGGGTGATGCCGTGCCATATCTATTGTTTCATGATGAAATTGAGAGTAAAAGCACGAAGGGTGATGCCGTGCCGTATTTATCATTTTACGGAGAGATTGAGAGTAAAAGCACGAAGGGTGATGTCGTGCCATTATTACTATTTCATGGTGAGCTGAGAGTAAAAGCACGACGGTGATGCCGTACAATTTTATTCATTGTGTTTGTTCGTTTTTTTGGTTGATGGTTTATTGATTGTTTCTTATTATCATTCCCTGTTGTAGTTATCGTATTGTGTACCCCTTTCGCATGTCCCCTCCCTATAGTACCTGTTAATTCTTTATTTGTTGTTTGTTGCACGTATATTTCCGTCTGTACAGGTTTAATTACGTGGGTGTCCTGTCATAGCCTCGTCACTACCTCGTCGAGGTTAGGCTCGACACTTACAGAGTACATCAGGTCGGTTTTACTCATACTAACTGTGCATTTCTTGGGCAGATTTTGGTACTGGTCCCAGTTGTACGCGAGGTGCATTAGCTCGGATTAGCATTTGGAGACTCAAGGTAGATCTGTTGGCGTCCGCAAACCTTGAAGTCCGCTTCCATTTTCCCTATTTACTATTCTTTTCAATCGAGACAGCTATATTTATTTCAAACCATATTTGTAGAGACTCTAGAAGCTCGTGTACTTGTGACTCCAGATCCGGGTTGTACTTAGATATTATTGGTTTTTATGTCATTTCGTACTCTGTTTTAGTTTCATTTCGGTTTAATTGGTTTTACTTACTTGAATTGATTAAAATTGGTTTAAAGATCCTCTAACGCTGGCTTGCCTAGCAAGTGAAATATTTGGCGTCATCACGGTCCCGAATATGGGGGTTTCGCGGGGATAGCAGGGTGGGTGGTGACGGAAAAAAAAAACTAAAATTAAAAAAAAATCCTTTTTGGAGAGAGGAGGTGGGAGGGTGGGTGGGTGTGGGGTGGGTTGGTGAGGCAGGAATAGGATGGGGAAGGTTGAGAAGGAGTTTTGGAAAATGTTTTCCCTTCACTTGATAAGGAAAACATTTTCCTCCAATTGGAGGAAAATGAGTTGATAAGGAAAATGTTTTTCAAAATATTTAAGCCAACCAAACATGGGAAAATTGGAAAACATTTTCCGGAAAATGTTTTCCTTCATACCAAACACACCCTAGATATTGTACCTTTTGTTTGTCTTCTATCTTGCCTATCAAGAATATTCCTATTTAATCGATACCCTAATTCCGTCTCATAGTTTCTCGACCTTGTGCAATACCAAATTAATTTTCACTATATCCTCTACCCTGGAAGTGGAGGTTAGAATAGATAAGATAGCATTCACATCTGCCAGGCAAAATAATATTAGGACCTGAACAATCAGGTGTCATGTGGAAGCTAGCAAAGTAAATCTTGAACGACGATAAATCATACAACAAAGAGAAATCTACCAAAAGAGACACAAACATTTAACGTGATTCGGTCAACTGACCTACATCCACGGCGGAGATGAGCAATCCACTATAATAAAAAGAGAGTACAAAATATTGAGAGAACAACCTCACGAAAAGGCAAACACAAGTGACACACTAACACTTGTCCCGTAAAGTTCTCCCCCCTAAACAAGACTCTCAAGCCCTTTATGGTTACATTGTGAATGCTACTGAATGAGAAGGAAGGATCATCAATTTATAAAAGTCCAAACCTTTTCCTGCAAGAAAAGGGACTAGCCAAATATGAAAGAATTATATTTTCCTTCTAGGAAAAGAAAAACTCAATTATGGTAAATATGTTGTCCTTTTCTTCATGAAATAGGAAAACTAATTATGGTAAGAAAATCTGGACAAACACCTAATAAATATTCTATTCAACTCTTGTAACATTAGTCATTTAAGTCAGCGATCACTACAAAAAAATAGCCTATTTGCGGAGGATATTTTCACGTTTTGCAGCGGTCAGCGACCCCGTTATTTGATATCGCGGCGGTCTTCAAAACCCCAGCTGTAAGGTTCGCCGCAATCATTTTGCGGCAGTTTTTTAAAGCCCGCCGTAACCATTTAACGGAGGTTATTTTTCGGCGGTTTAACCTCCACAAATTATAATTTTAATCAATGCGCAACTTGTAAAAAATATATTGCGGAGGTTGAAACCGCCGCAAATAATCATCTTGCGGCGATTTCAACCTCCGCAATATATTTTCGAAATATGTGAAATCTATTTTCGCGACAGCTTTACCCCCCTCAATTTGTTTATTTAATGGCAGTTGTAACCCCTATTCCAGGAAGACCTTTTTTTTTTTAGGGGGGGGGGGGGGGGGGAGCAATTGTGGGGATACCTATTTTTCTAATATAATTTTTTAATTATATTAAGTAAATTTTAAGAGGCATTAACATAATACTAAAGATGCATAAATGTTAAGTAACATCCACATATTATAGAATCATAAGCAGATAGTATTGTCATTAATCTCAAAAACTAAACTAAACACAAAATATCTAGTTCAACCATTCAAGTAAAGTATCATACTCAATCATCTATTACATTTGCAAAGAAATTCAATGATTTTCATTAAGATTACTATCACTAGATGATCCTCTTACGCCCATAGGTGAAATGGATCCGCTAGCTGCATCACTTGACTGCAAAGAAATAAAAAGCATTTAAAGTTTTGTTCTTTAGTTTTTCAAATTAAAAAACTACATATAGCTAGATTTTATTTACCGCTACCGGAGGAGGAGAAACGAAATCCCAGCAAATTGTTCAGGTATTGTCCCTTCTTTCATAATCATATATGTCTTGAAAGCATTCATCATTTGGAGGTGTGCAGTCATCATTTGAGCATAGTTCTCTTGGCTTTGATTGTGAGCATTTACAATCTGATTGTACTTCTCTTCACATTTGGACGAACATGAACCATTATCACAACTGAAGAATTTATTCCTCCAAAACGACGTCTTGTTTGTCCAAAAACTTTACTCGGGATAGCTCCTAACCCCAAGCACCTAACCCTTCCAGAATGCTCTTTTCCTAGCACCTTACCAACGACATCATTTGGTGAAACTTCAGACTCATCTGTGGCGCTTTGACTTACAACTAGCTCAATTTTTTCCTGAATATAAGATACACAAAATTCATTGTCATAACTTCAATTAGTAATTGACAACATAAGGATAATGTATATGACAACATAAGGATACTCTATCCAAAAGTAAGACTAGTGTTATTGAAACCCCTGGACACTTCCCTCATTAACCTCTCTCCTAGTCCATTTCCATACCTACTAACTAGGCATTACGATCCCATTTTAAGCCAAACTAAACAAACCTATAAGGTTCTTTTGTTTAAGAAATGGATACAAAATCTGCTATAAAAGGAGGGAGAATAGCCAAAACAGTGTAAAAATTCAAGATCTAATGCCATTTGAAACTTCTGAACACTTTTTATAACTATTGAAGCAAACAGTATGCTCATCAAACAGAATTTGATCAGCCATGCAATTGATGTCCCATAAAATTATATTCCAGCTTCTAAACATTCTTCCCTCTAGTTATTTATCGTCATTAAAGAAGAGACCATTGTATAAAGGCAAGTTAATCAAAACCAGAAACCAACACAGCAAAATTTGCAAAGCCATAGTTTCAAATGCATATGTCAATCACACTTCTCTTGTTATGATCAGTTCCTTCACTAACCCCACAAAGCAAAACAGATTGAGCATTGCCAATGTTGACAAAATGGTAAGCATAGGTGAAGCACTTCCAAATTCTATTTTTTCTTTTAACAAGTAGAAACTTACACATATTTCTCTTGCTGCTTCATTAACATATGACCCATCTTCCTTCTTATGAGTAGCAAGATAGAGTTGCGCTCGTCCAGGGTTTTGTCCAGATTCAGCCATCTATAAATGAAAAATCAAGTCTGAATAACTTGACTAAATAGGAACAGTTTGCAAGTTTAATTAAAGTAAAACATATTGAATTAACATTTATCACCATTTTAGCTCTTCTTCTGGAGTTTGGTTTGGAACCACCAGTGTGTGCAACAGTTTGTTTCTTCCGAATTTCAGCATTTCTTTTACTCATTTCCTTATAAAAATACACATAACTCAAATATCCAAATAAAAAAGTATATAATTACACATACTAATTTAAGCATTCAAATAAATACCATTATCTTTTCGTTAAAACGGTAAGCAACATAAGAAGTCCATTGATCCCGTGGAATCCCTGATGGAACATTATCCATAATCTCTGCTTTGGTCTTAAGTGGGTCATTGAACTCATACCACAACCTTTGCCTTCCTGAACTCCACTTCTTTCCAATAGAACTATATACATATGCTCGTGCATTTAACTCAGTTGTCTTAAAACAGAATCGTGGCTACAGGAATAAAATTTCTGTTAGCTAATTTATTACATGCAAATATACAGTCTAACGACATAAAACAGAGTTACAACAATAAGAAAATAGAGCTTATACCTTTATAATTCGATCAAAGCAACAATTGAAGTATTACTTAGGTAAATCTGGCCATTTGTTGAAGTGAATTGGAAATAAGGAGCAGTCGGTTGCTAAAATTCCACAAAAGCCTGCAAGAACACCTTGCCCTTCTCCAATTGGCTGATCCATATCATCAAATTCAACCACAATACATTTTTCGTCGGATAAATACATCACATCCTTAACCTTTACTTTGAGTTTTTTGGTAGCTCCTTGCGAATCTTTAAAAATAAACATCAAGTTAAAAGATCGAACTAACTTTTGTACGTCAAATTCATTATGTTTTCAGTTATAGTACAAAGAAGGATCCTTCCTGTCCTGTTTCCTCAGAGATTTCAGATCTCAATAATTACTAATTAATCCATATTCTGCATAACCCAAACTTCATTATCTGTTCAATTCTCAACTCTATCTTGAATAGGCAGCTCACTTTCATTTTTCTGCTTGGGTGATGGTTAATACAAAATACTTGCATGTCTGACTGTCTCTAATTTCTTACACTCTAAAACAGAATCCAGTGCTGCAAACAGTGCTTTGCCTATCTCCAAGATATACAGAAAGTACTTCCAGCACTTGTTAGGTAATTAAGAATCCACTTTTTACTTTTCATTATTATGATTACTATTATGATTTTATTTCAAGATTGATGCAACTTCTTGTCGAGTAGAATTCTAGTTGATATCTTTACCACCTTTTCTTACATATCTAAAGTAGCTAGAAGCCCAGAGCCCTTGTGTCTTGATTTTGTTGGCTACTCAATTTTTGCTCACATTCTATTATTGTAGGAGAAGTGGTCTGTTGGCAAAAGGTGCATTCAGTGTTAAAAAAATTCGCCAGCCTTTCGACGCTTTTTGGACGTTTAGAAAGAAAAAGAAAAAGAAAAAGAAAAAGAAAAAGAAGAAGAAGAAGTAGAAGAAGAAGAAGGAAAATAAAAACATACCTTGAATAAATAGTGACGCTTGAATAAATCAAGAAAAGAATTACCTATTGCATCAACTGTCCAATGTTGCGGACACTCACGTCCAGGATGTTTTTTGGATTGTGTCGGCTGTGATGCTGCCTGAACTGACGGGGCAGGCTGTGATGTGGCCTGAACTGAATGAGCCGGCTGAGTTGCATCCCGAACTGACGGGGCCGGCTGTGATGTGGCTTGAACTGAATGAGTCGGTTGTGCTGCAGCCCGAACTGATGGGGCCGGCTGTGATGTTGTCCTAACTGATGCAGTCTGATGTGCTACGGCCTGGACTGAAGGTGTCGGTTGAAAAAATGATACCAACTGGGCGTATCATCAAGATGTGAAGGTGTTGATTCAGTTGTTGATAAAGGTTGTACTACACCTTGTCAAGTAGATGCTGGCTGAACTGACTTTTGCAAGTTCTGGCAACGCTTGGCCCTTGGCATATCTGGAATCAATAAAATAAATTGCATGAAACTATATACCATAATGGTGAAAGATTGAACAATCTAATTACAAAGTTTCCTGTACAAGAGTCATACAATCAGCATGTTAGTTGCTCTACAGAGAGCAATGAGATTTGCAATTAAGCAATTTTGAAGTACCTAATTAACAGAATCATATAGAATTAGTGCTACGACGAAACAATCAAATAATCTAATTACTTGCAATCTAGATCACACCTTGCAACTTCAATTCAAGAAATGTTTAGGAGAGTGAGTGAGCAGTTTACTGCTATGTTTAGGAGAAAGGCTTTCTGTACAGCAAGATGCAAGAGTTGAAGAAAATAGTGATTATGAAGATGAAGCTGCAGAAGACCAAGAAACAGAGACAGAGGCAATATTGAATAGTGACACTTGAATAAATCAAGATAAGAATTACCTATTGCATCAACTGTCCAATGTTGCGGACACTCACGTCCATGACGCTTTTTGGATTGTGTCGGCTGTGATGCTGCCTGTACTGATGGATCCAATTGTGATGTGGCCTGAACTGAATGGGCCGGCTGTGCTGCAGTCCGAACTGATGGGGCCGGCTGTGATGTGGCCTGAACCGAATGAGCTGGCTGTGCTGCAGCCCGAACTGACGGGGCCGGCTGTGATGTTGTCCTAACTGATGCAGTCTGATGTGAAGGTGTTGACTCAGTTGTTGATAAAGGTTGTGCTACACCTTGTGAAGTAGATGCTGGTTGAACTGACTTTTGCAAGTTTTGGTAACGCTTGGCCCTTGGCATATCTGGAATCAATAAAATAAATTAACTATCTGGATATCTCCTGGCCAGGGTCTAAAGAGTAGTCACAAACAATCTCAATGGCAGACAATCAGCACACTGCACATGCAATTCCTTCCAACAACAGAGACAGTCAAACAACTTTTGAATGTATTTAAGGCAGCTCCAGGAATTGATAGGAAATATATTACCCTTTTTAGTAAGCCAGAGGATAAAAAAGAAAAAAGAGGAAATATATTTTCTTGGTGCTTCCTAATCATAAGATATATTTCCTCTCCCTGTATTCTTTTCAGGTGGCTTCTTAGTTTCAATTGAAGTATTGAACTGGTTTGTGTACTTCAATTTCGACAACCGCAATAGAAGAGGTCTATTCGTGACATTGTTTTTTTAACCGCAATAGATGATTCTTTTCTAAGCGAGAGTAGTGGTGTGCATACATCAACAACAACATACCCAGTGAAATGAGGATAGTGTATACACAGACCTTACCCCTACTCTAGGAAGATAGCAAGAGTAGTGGTGCATATCTAGGACAGAAAACAAAGCATAGATGAAACGATGGATACTCATGCTAATGGTCAAAGATGCTAAAGAAGGTTTCACTAAGAAACCTTAATGGGGGAAACAACAGGTTTAGGTATCATAAGTATAAAACATGTAAGATAAAGCAGAAAATAATATCTGTTCAACATATGAAGCTGACTATGAGACCAGCACAGTTATCTCATACTTCCCGCAGCGTCCACTAAGTTCATAATTCATTCTTCATTGGCACGTTTTATTCGCCTAATCGATAACTTGTCAACTAGATCGCAAGCGGTAACCATGAAGACGCATATTGCTCATGGCAATCATTTCTAAAACACATCATCAATTACTTGAGTTCATAAGCATACATCTTATGATCAAACAAGGAGAACCATGTAATTCAAAAACAGGAAACTATAGCTGCAACAACATACTGCACATGAACTGTATTAGTTAGCATTGATATTGAAAGATGCATCCCATAAGACTAAAATCCCTAAATATCCAATAGTTTAGAGTTGAATAGAAGAGTGCCTTAAGAGAACTAAACTAGTAAAAAGCATCCTGATAAACAAAGGTTAGAGACCAGAACAGTTATAGATGTACTAATTCATCTGAATATGCTTCAAGAGGTATATATGTACACAAATTCAGCTCAAAACCTCACCTACTAATTCAGAGGCGGCCTCGTCGAACAGTTCAGCGAACTGAGTTTCGAATACCGATATTCTTTGCATTTAAATGAAATATGTAACAACTTGAATCATAAATAAACATCAATTAGCAGTTACCATTCAATAAATCAAGGCTGGTCTTCATCCCGGGCTGCAGACCATAAAATTGCACCAGTAGATCAAATCATTGATCAATTCAAATTTTAAGTAGTCAAGTTTTCAAGAGCCTCACCTCTCTTGGGAGTTGCCTTGCTCCACACGGTGAGGCGAAGCCTCTTCAGATCGAGGTGATTGTTAGATGACATATAGGTGATATGTTGCAACTAAATTAATCTTTATACTTGCTTCGAGTCGTTGTAAAAGAAACCTAGTATAGGTTCGAAACTTGGAATTTATAATTTGCTATAGAAGTTGATAGCATAACATAATGCTGATGTAGAACAAATCTTTTAATAGAATTCAAAGGTTAAGAGACACAACGTTTGTTTCCTGTCTAACAATGAGATATAACTATCAGAACTGAATTGGAACCTTTTTGCTAGCAGCCTCTCTACAGCTTGATGTTTCGTTTCCAGTGGAAACTAGAAAGATAAAATTTAGTCAGAATGATCAACCTTTGTACATAAGTTTCTTCCTGTGTCGAAATTCGAACATCAACTAAAAGGATAATAAATCCCTCAATACTAAAGAACATCAACTTTCTTCTTCTTACTTCATCGTATCAGAAATAAGAAGAAACGTTCTTCTTCTTCTTCTATAACAAAAAAGGAGCAGAGAGAACCTAAATCAAATCACATGCAAAAATTATTGAAATTGGAGCAGAGAAACCTAAATCAAATGACATGCAGAAACTACTGAAATTCAGATATTAGGAAAACGTAATCAAAACCCTAGAGGAATTAAAATCGGATATAAACAGATTAGGAAGGAGAGGGCAGTGAGCTCCAATTCGAGTTGTACCTTTTGTCAGGAGATTCGGCGACAAACACGCTTCAATTCGCGTTGTAATTGCTGAAATTCACATTAAAATCGCACAAATATCAAACTTAGAGGAATTAAAATCGGATATCAACTATTTTCGCAATGCAGAGACTGATTTCGCACAACTATTTTCGCAATGCACAAATATTTCGCACAAAAATTTTCGCAATCGGATATCACATTAAATCGCAACTTAGAGTGAACCCTAAATCGTTAGAGTGAAAGACAATGGTAGATTAAAGAGAGAAAGAGAACTTGCCATTTCAGGAGGAAAAAGAATCTGGATAGCGAACCCTAAATCATTAGAGTGAACAGCGGAGATTTCTATGTTGGCGGAAATTTCTGGGAAAAAAAGAGGGAAAGATAAAAATAAAGGCTAGCAGGCGCCTTTTTTTTTTTAAAAGTCTAGGGAGGTTTCTAAACGCCGCAAATTGAATTTTAGTGCGGAGGTTAATTAGACCCCCCTAATTAGATACAATTTGTGGAGGTTAATAATAACCCCCGTAATAAAACCGCCACAAATAGACTTTTTTTATTTTTGTAGTGGATCACTATAAAAGACTCAAGATTTGAAAGTGGGGCAAATGGTAAAACTGCTCAATTAGTGTTACTATCATACTTTTGATCTTAAGGGTTTCAAGTAACTTATATGATCGTTTTTAACATATATATACTTATATATTCATAATTTTTGCCCAAACTAACGGGTCCGTGTCCCCTCTTCTCCAAGTATACGTCTGTCTCTGGCCACTTGTAAAACTTTAACATGAACATAACATGTATAAGACATCCAAAACTATATATATGAAGATTTTACATTTAAGGCAGTAAATTAAATTCAGAATCTTAGCTCTGAAACCCAGAAAATTATCATCTGTGTAGTCACCAAAAGGAAAAGAAAAAAGTCGTCGAGCACATTTTCGTGTGCAAAAACAGGATCAAGGACAAATCAAGAAATCAAGAATTTTGTGGGGTTTGAGAATTTGAAGTGTTGAAGGACAAATTAACTATTTCGCACTGAAGGGAGACAAACTAAGTGGCCACTGTTTACCACAAAGTAGTCCATATTATATTCCCGTACTGCGATACCCTAAGATCATCTATGCATGTCTCCGCCTCTGGGCTCTGCTTATCACGTATTTTCATGCAAGTAAAAATTCCGAGTGATTGTGGAGCAAGGAGGAAAATACATGCTATAAAAAAGTGAAATTGCACGAATAGTTTAAAAGAATCTTATATTATTATTTATTACTCCCTCCAGTCAACAATAAATGATCAATTTATTTTTTTATTTTGGTCAATAAGTGTCTATTTATATAACCAAAAAAAATTTAATTTGTTTTCCAAAATTACCCTTATGTATGTATCCCTAAAAAGTCATTTAATGAAGTGTAATTTAGTCACACTAACTATTTTCGTCTAGAATTTAGTATTTTCTTAATGGGTGTGCTCGAAGCAAATTGGTCGCTTATTATGGACCGGGGGAGTAGTATACATAATATAATTCTTTATCAGGGGCGGAGGTAGAATAGTGGCTCCGTATTCATTTAAACCCAGTAATTTATGTTTAAACATTCACCAAAATTGCCACAAAGGCAGAATACATAAAATGACACCTGAACTTATACTCAAATCCCTGTCACACACCTGTTGACCGTGAAAATATTTTCAAATACTCAACCTTTCAAAAGTGTATCTAGTACACACATCTTTGCCTACATGGCACGAGCGTCCTTTACACACAAATAAGGCGAGTGAACTAAAAAGTTTTGTATCTCAAGCCTCATAAAAACGCCATATGTCCAACTTTATTTCCCCCTTTTTTTTTTATTCATCTCCTTCATTTTTCTTCCTCCATTAATGCTCACAGAACCTCTATCTATATTTATTTTTTTGGTTACTTTTCAAACTTTTATTTCGTTTTTCAACTAGTAAATAAAGAATTTTTGAATTATCAAGAGATTGGTGTGAAATTGTTGGCTCGAAAAGTGCGATTTCAATTAGACCCAGAAATTTTCGATTCAAAAAGTGCAATTATTGGCCCGAAAAATCAAGAGAGCAGTACTAGAATTATTTATGTGAAATTATTCTTTTACTGAAATTGATACTTGGATACTGAATTAGTTGTTGATTTGAAGCTCCATTTCAAGTTGGAACTCATTTGGAGATGAATTGAGAGTTAGATCGAAACCTGTTGAAGAATGCCAAAGAATAAATTTTGAATTTAAGTGTTGGATCTTAGACTTGAAGATGAAGGTAGGCGCAACCATGTTGGTCTTGGGAATAAGATGAATTCCTTTTCTTTTTCTTTTTCTTTTGCCTGGGTTCCTTTTCTTTTTATGTTTTAAAACTTTGCTGGAGATCTTTTTTTATTTTTTAACTTAATGACACATGTCACGACAACATTGGTGCGTGACATACACCTATTTAAAAGAAGTGGTCAAATATTAAAGTAGTGTGTAATAGATACACTTTTGAAAGGTTAAGTGTTTGAAAATATTCCCGTAGTCAACATGGGTTAATAACAGGGATTTGGGGCACAAGTTCAGGTGTCATTTTATGTATTCTGCCTTGCCACAAACGATGATTATGAACCCATAAATTTAAAAATATAATGGGTTTAGAATTTTAAAAGTTGAACTCATAAAATTCAAATTCTGAATCCATATGTGTTTTCTATGCAGTGTTAGTTCAATTACTCTCTTTATCATTATGACCCAAAAGGTCATCACTTGTCTTAGAAATAAATTCAGTGTTTCGAGGCCTAAAAACCTCCTTTTTACCTCACATCGATTTGCGTGCGTGGTGTGGACCTGTATTCGGAAAGCCTTCTATGTGAAAAAATGAGAAATAGAAACTTCTAGAGTTATAATTTGATTATGGTTGACTTTAGTCAACATTTTAAGCAAACGGACACGGATCCGTGTTCCGACTATCCCGGGAGGTCCGTAGGAAAATATGGGACTTGGGCGTATGCCCGAAATCGGATTCCGAGGTCCCAAGCCCGAGAAATAAATTTTTAAAGAAAATTATTTTCTGGAAAATATATGAGTTTTTGAAAATGAAATGTGTTTGAAATTTGATGGTATGGGCCGTATTTTGGTTCTGGAGCCCGGTACAGGTCTTATATGTGGTTTAAGTTAAGTCTGTGAAATTTGGTAAGAAACGGACTTGAAATGACGTGAATCAGACCTTATTTGAGAAAAATTGGAAAATTTGATGTTCTTAGCGATTTCATGATTTTGATGCTAAATTCATAGTTGTTGATGTTATTTTGGTGATTTGAATGCACGCGCAAGTTCGTATGATGTTTTTGAGTTAGTGTGCATGTTTGGTTTGGAGCCCCGAGGGCTCGGAGGAGTTTTGGATAGGCCACGGAGTGAAATTTGGACTTAGGATGTTGCAGATTTTAACCGGTATACTGCAGGCCTGCAGGCCTACAGGCTTCGCATTTGGCTCGCAAATGCGAGCTCGCAAAGAGAAGGCTATGTCGCAAATGCGAAGGAGCCCAGGCCAGCATTACCTCGCAAATGCGAGGCACTCATCGCAAATGCGATGCCTCCAGTTGTAGCCGGTCGTCGCAAATGCGAAAGTCCCTTCGCAAATGCGAGAATAGAAGACTTCTGGGTTCGCAATTCCGAACCCTGGTCGCAATTGCGACATCAGAGACTTGTAAATTCATAACTTAGACGCATTTCAACCATTTTTCACATTCTTTCAAAACCAAAACACTCTTGGGCGATTTTTCAAAGACAACTTCTCTTCTTAATCGATTATAAGTCATTTCTAACTTGTTTTCTTTAATCTTTAACATATTTTCACATGATTTCAACTCAAAATCAATGATTTTCATGGGGGAAATTGGGTGTTTTGGATAGAACCTAGGTTTTTTCAAATTTTGGGGATTTGGACCTCGATTTGAGGTCCGATTTCAAAACAAATTGTATATTTGAGTTCGTGGGTGAATGGGTAATCATGTTTTGGTTCGAACCTCGGGTTTTGACCATGTGGGCCAGGGTCAATTTTTGACTTTTGGAAAAAACTTTAGAAAACTTATTTTCATGCATTAGAATTAATTCATTTAGCATTTATTGATATAATTAAGTAACTTGTGGCTAGATACGAGTGAATTGGTGGTGGAATCAAGAGGTAAAGCGATAGTTGAGGCTTGAATCGTGTTCGAAGCATCGAGGTAAGTGTTTGGTCTAACCTTAGCTTGAGAGATTAGGAGTTGTGTCCTATTTGCTATATATTATTTGTTGAGTACGACGTATTGGCATGGTGACGAGTATCTATACGTTGGTGTCAAGCATGCCCGTGAGTCTTATATTATTATTATTATTATTATTATTATTATTATTATTATTATTATTATTATTGTTATTATTATTATTATCATGACTCCATTTGTATTTTTCATGCCTTGTGATGTTTTCTATTGTTGGGCAAAGTTCGTGGAAGAAATGGTGATATTTGAACATTGAGGAGCGTTGGCTCAAGTTATGAAGTGAATTATGAAAGAACAATTGGCAATTAAACCTTATAGAGCATTGGCTCAAATTGTGAATCGAGTTATGAAATAAATGTGAAAAAGAGAAGAGGATTATGGTATTACTCCCTTGCCCGGGATGTTGTTGCTTTTCTATTGTTCCCTTGACGGGGTTTTATTGTGATTCATTTATTTCCTTGCCCTTATTATTTGTGATCGTTGTTTGGGTGAGGAAGAGTGTAAAGCACGAAGGGTGATGCCGTGCATTGTTTTGGGGAGAGAGTGTTAAAGCACGAAGGGTGATGCCGTTTATAAATTTTGTGAGGAAGAGTGTAAAGCACGAAAGGTGATGCCGTGCCGCACAATGTACCATTCCGTGCCGATTATATTGATTTTATGGCGAGGATGAGAGTAAAAGCACAAAGGGTGATGCCGTGCTGTTTATATTGATTTTATGGTGAGGATGAGAGTAAAAGCACGAAGGGTGATGTCGTGCACTTGTTTGATTTCTGATTCTCGTTGAAGATTGAGTTATGGTGTTCCTTATGTTTACCTGCTGATCTCATGTTATCATTTGTTGCCTCCCCGCATTATGTTTCCCCCTCCCATCCTTGACTATACATTTCTGCTTTATTTTTCCGTTGTATATGATTTAACTGCACATGTTTATTTGGTGGTCTGGTCCTAGCCTCGTCACTACTTCGCCGGGGTTAGGCTAGGCACTTACCAGCACATGGGGTCAGTTGTGCTAATACTACACTCTG